CGATGCTTCATTGAAAATATATTATAAAAAAATTAAAATAAGACTGTTGAGAGTGAGATTAAATTTCATAAGAAAGGTATCTAATTAATTTATAGGTATCTTTCTTATGAAATTTTATCAGAAGTGTACATAAAATACTAAAATCAAATTGAAAAATCAAATTAACTTTTTTGTGTTTCGCAAAAATAAAGGCCCTAACAGTGGAGAATTGCTTAATTCAAATAATGAGACTTAATTGTATTCTTGCTGGTCTTCCGTACTTTTTAATTACAGCCGTTTTATGGACACAAAATTACATTTCTTAATTACTGCGGGTCTTCTGATTGTTAGAAGCTATACAATTTATAATGCTGTAAAAATAGATCTATTTAATAACACCATTGACTAAACTGAATGCCATTTTCACTAATTTTAGAATATTTAACAACTTTAATGTAAAAATAATAAAATAATTTAAGAAATAATAAATAATTGTTTTAAAAATTCATTTTGCATCGCAAAAATTTTTGCTTTCAGACAATATTATACATATTCATAAAAACAACTAAAATCAACTAAAAGCATTTAAAATTAAATAATATCTTTGTTTTATTGAGTTTTGTATGTTACAATTCAGAGCTGATTTTCAGGTAGGGGGGTCCAATTAAAAAAAAAAATACATGATTTGCTTTCCTCAAAGCCTTGTGCTTTTAACTAATATAATCACTAAACTGAATGGTATTGAATTTCTAGAATTTTCATAAAATTAGTTGGGGGGGTAATAAATATATAAAAAAATATTTTTGCCATGACTTTAAAAAAGAAAACATATTTATAATAATTTCCATCATTTGTGAATAGTTTCTGAAAGTTTCATTAACATCCGACAATTATTTTTATTTTTGCAAGATTTTCCAAATTAATGTCCGTCATACAAAAAAAAAAAAAAACGTGCTAAAAATTTATATGCTATTTATTAGTTCCACTGATACAAAGAGAAACAAGGTTTTTTTTTAATCAAAAGTTAGAATGTTCTAAAAAGAAGGAAAAATTTTTTTAAATAATTAAACATTTCCTCTTAATAATAAACATTTAGATGATAAAATTTTCATCAAGTTTGGTGTCTTTTTCATCATGCTATTCAATTACTTAAAAATACAGGAGGGGGATTAACCCCCAAATCCCCACTCCAGAACTGCCGTAAAATCAATTTTTAATCGACTTTTATTTCATAATTTCTGAATTTTCCTACCAATTATTGTTCCGCGCCCCAGAGAAATAATATGACATATCGCCACAATTCTTGTAAACAGAAGATTTGTGTTTCTCTGTTGTTCAAAGTGTAGTATCTTCACAAGTATCCCTTGGCAATTGGAACACTGACGGGAATAACTTTTCACCCCAAAACTGTAAGTTAACTAAAGTTTTACAATGCATCTATCAAAATCTTTTAAATGAATATTTGTATAACAAACTACAGTAAAAGTTACTTTCGATGCTATAAAATATTTTCAAGAAAATGAATTTAAGTTGGGAATTAGTTGAAAACAACTGATATTTTGTGACTTTCTGAAAAAGTATCCATTTTATTTGATTTTAGCATTGTTTTTAATAAGAAAATTTAACACCTCATTTTAGTTACATTTTTTTTTTTTTTTTTTTTTTTAAAATGGAGTTGGAGCAGCTTCTTTTTGAAAATGGGAAGAGTGAGGGGAGCCAGCTCTAATTTTGGGTATAGGAGCAGAAGTGAGAGCAGCTCCAAAAATAGTGGAGCGTGTAAAGCCCTGCATTTATAGATGTAGTTCTGTGGTTAAAGCATATAATTATAAAAATGAAAGATTTGATAATCTATCTTTCTTCAGGTGCCATGCATGTTGCACACTTGGGTGATCAGGTTTCTTTTCAATTCATGACTGACTTGGCAAAAGAATTCCTGCAGTAGTCTGTCATTACTTTCTGTGGTTGATTTTCTATAACTGATGATAATTTGGTGATATCAGTGAATGCGGTTAAAGTTTAAAGCACTATACTGGTTTGAAGGTAAATTAGTTTAAAATAATTTAAGCACAAAAAAGTTTGTGTTATTTACTGTTTTTACTTTTTAGAGAATTGGTCATAACTAAATTAAGAAACAAGATCTCTATATTCTCTCACAACTGTCTGTTCAAAATCACAGCAAATTGCAAATCTACTCAATATATAATCAGATAAAGCAAGTAGTTTAGACTCTAAAAAGGTATCATTGTCCTGTACAATCAGCCACACAAACCTCAACTATTTGTTTAAAGACCAATTACATGAGTATTAGCAAGTGTATATATAAACATGTGAACCATCACAAATGTATCTATTGCATGCCTGCACAGTTAAAAATGTGAAAGGCCACCTAGATCACATTAACCACAATTAACCACTGGCCAAAAGAGTAAATTTTTAAAGTAAATTACTAACTGTAAAACATGGTGTAAATACACTAATGCATCCCAGAGGAGGTATGTCTTTATTAAAACCAGTGTAGATTGTTTTCATAAATGTTAAGATGTCAATCGTTTTGTGGTTTTGATTTAGTTTTTGATACTTTGGCATGTGATTCCTTAGTTTATATATTCCAACATTTAATTACAGTGTCCTGGCAGTTGTGTGAACCTTTACAAGCAATGTAAAAAAGGGGTGCCAATAGTAAAGTTCAAAAGTATCATCCACTGTTAAAAACAATATATAACCTTTGTCTTTGACAAGAGCTACCTCATTTGAAGAATATTAGAGAGCTGCTAGGCAAAAAAGACGGAGTTATGTCTATGCTTATCTACATTATTTACATGCAGACTATTATCCTCATCATTGTTGTAAATAGTAGAAATAATGATAACTCTGAAATTCAGACAGAAATTATATCTATGGTGTGTATACCTTTTTATTTTTTTAGCTTTTTTTGACAAAGCCAAGTATGGAGTTGTGCGGACACATCTAAAATATTTAGAACTAAAATGGCACAAAAGTTTTGTCTTCATTTTAGTAAGACTACTATATATAATTTTAGCCATCTCTGATTTAATAAGGAATGTGACATCTTTTCTTGGCTACATGTCAAGTGGCTTAAGCATTCTAAATGTTACTAATGTTGTCAGTATTCAAATCTTCAATTTTTCCATTGCACAGTCTCTTAGTCAAACAGTGGATTTCCCAACTTGTTTTCCTAATAAATCTGATCAACATGCTTCTTTACTTGATTTGTTCCTTACCTCTTTTTCTAGCTTTCATCAAGCATCAGTCCTCTGCCCACTTGGCACTTCAGATCATACAGTATTATCTGTTAATATTTCTTTTGTGTCGTCTATTATAAATGAACCTCCTACTAACAAGGCTTCTTTCTACTACCAGTGTACCAACTGGGACTCATTTCATAACTGTCTTCAAGATGCCCCTAAGATTCATATTCATAACCTTCCTATTGAGAATTGCAGATTCTGGGATTAAAGCTGGCATTGATGCTTTTGTTACTTCTCAGAAATAATAGGTGAAGCCACAATCTTCTCAATTGTTCACACCAGTCTGTTCAGCCACTATAGCCTACAGGAATGACTTCTTCCAGCTGTTCCAGTGTCATAGTTCCGATAAGAAACATATTTGTGTCTGCTTGTAATGGTTGTAAAGAGGTTTTGTTTGCTGATAGAATGAAACACCAGATATCCTCTAATAGATTTGGCTCTTAGGACTCCTAGCAGATCTATATTAGTGTCTTAAATAAGTGCAAGTATTATTTATCTTCCCCACTTCACTCAATTTGAAGTGTTAATATCTACTGATAACGCAAAATGTCTTGCTCATTAATTCTCTTCAAATTCTACTCTTGACTCCTCTAGTATATTTGCCTGACTTTCAATAAGTGAACAATAAGTGCTTTGCTGCTTCTTGCTTTCCTTTTAACTATTGACCTTACTAACTTTTTTTTTGGCAAAGTACTTGATGCACTAATCAACTTCAAATTGGTTAAGCATCTCACCTCAGAGTGTCTTCTTCCAGATAAGCAATAAGATTTTCACTTCTCTAGCTTCAACTGCTGATGTATTAACAATTATTGCTGAAAGAGTTTATTAAACTTTATATAAGAATGTATGAAACTTGGGCTGTTGCTTTGGATATTTCAAAGGCACTTGACAGATTTTGGCATAATGGTCTTCCCAAGTTGAAACATTATGATAACTTTTGGACAAATTTTCAAACTGATTTAGTCTTTTTTATAAAAATCGCAAAATGAAAGTTATCTTAAATGGCCACTCTTCTAGATCTTTTCGCATTAAATACCTTAAAATCCCATTCAAAGAACAAAGTATTAAAAAAATTAGGATTTAGATATCTTCACAGGAACAGATTTTGTAGGAGAGTTCAATCAACCAATGCTAAATACTCTGTTTATATAAAAAGTTTTCATAAATACATGCTGACTGAATAGTATATATTTTCACTTGGCAATCTTTTTAGTAGAGAAATTAATTTATTTACAGAAGAATCTTATATAAAAAACGTAGACTCAGTACAAGATTGACACTTAACAGTTAACTAAGATAACACTAATTATGAACTGGTAGACCAAAATAAAGAGCTCAAAACCAAGAACCTTCTTGCACTGCTGGAAGAATTGCCAGGTCTGTTGCGATGTTAAAATTAGTTGAAACAAAGATAATTCAAATATTTCTGTGATTACTATTGCCACCTTTACTTAAATCTATTCAGAACTTATAGAAGTAAAAGAAAAATTCACTGTTGAATTTGTCTTACTTCTATAACACTGGAAATTACCAAAAACTTAATGTGACATTTTTTTTATATGAAATATGAAACTAGCCTTAACAAAATTCAATTTTTGTAAGCACCTTTAAAGTAACTGCAATTAGACACACTTGATAAATTTGTTGCTTACCTTATTATGCTTGTAATACTTGGTAGAACATGGTAGAAAGTGACCAAAGATGACCAGTCAAGCAAGTTGGATTAGCTAATTAACAAAATAAATTGCTTACCGTAGCATCTTGTCCAGCATAATGGCTAATGACTTTACTTCCTCCAGGATGGCGTCGAGCCCAGTTTGTAATATTGTAAACTTGTCTGTTGATAACAAGCCAGCGGTCATCTCGCTGGTTGTGCTTCTGGATTTCTTCCCAAGAGTAGAATTTGTGAGATGGACTGGCCTTTTCTTCATTTTGTGTAGAACTAGAATTCTGTCCTCCTTTACCCATATTTATCTATCTGCAGAAAGAAAAATAACATGAACTATTAAGAGAGTCAGATACTTATAATACAAGAAAAATGAAAATATTGCTAGAAGATAATTTATAAAAAGTTCTGAAAGATATATTAAAAATAGAATTAATAAAGTACATTCCAGGAAAAGATTTCTATGCATAAATATTTTTGCACATACTCAAATTTAAAAATTCCAAAATCATTGGCTAGCTTTGGACTTGAAAAAACAATAAAAAAAGCTTACTGTAAGTGAAAATCTAGCCATGGTAAATATAAGTAGACAAGCAGATAAAACAAACATGATTTATTGCTCTATCTTCATCTGTCTGATAATATCTACCTAATTAGTAGGTTAGACTCAAGTATCATAAAAGAGGGAAAAAATTTCAGGCTTATCAATATCTGAGTTAATCATTCATGAAGTAATAAGTTAGTTATTACTTTCATAAGTAATGATTAATTTATGAGGAACAGTTCAAATAAGTAAAGAAAAAAAGAGAATGATCCCAATTAATGCTGTTTATCCTAGAATAAAGACAGTAAATTAAGCAATAAATTGCATATTTTCTTATTGACTTTACTAATGAGTTATGGCTATACCTTTGTTTGCAAGCAAAGAAATCTAGTGTTTATACAAGACTGGTAATGTAAACTTATACCAGGGATTACTTTTTTGCTCTTTACTGAAATTAGTTTTCTTTCTAGTATGAAAATATGGAAATTATAGCTTACTAAAACCTAAATTCAGGACTATTTATATCATCATCAATTAGAAAGAATTCTACAGCTCCAAAACATGTCACAATTAACTATTTTGCGTGTGTGTATTTGAGGGGCTACATTCAAGGTAGCAGTGTATCAGTAGTATGTCTAGCAGTTCACTGGTTAAACATTTGGCAGATAGACACTGGATGTTTAAAACTAGAAAGCTGAGTTCAGTCATTGTACTGCTTTCTTATCATTCCCTGGCTGTATTTCTATTTCCTTTTTCATTAATCATATTGACTTTACAACTAATGCTTATTCTGTCATAGATACCAGGGTGTCATTTCCACTTCAGCCTGACTCATCAGCAATTGCTTTGAGATTGGGGCAAAGAATCCATCTGCTTGCACCTAGTATTCCTGCAATGTGATGGGAACCAACAAAGCTTGGTGTTATCATAAAGTACTGCTAATTAGTGGCAAGGGGATGAGGCTGAAACTATGTCTGAACCCAAGTGACATGATCTTATAAGATCTTTATTGTTGTAACATGCAAATATACATATATACATTACATACACACAAGAGAGATTGGGTGTATCTAGGCAGGAGATATCCAATTTTTTTTTTTTAAATGTATGATTCTAGAATAGACATTCTAAAATATATTTAAATTTTCAGAATTCACTATATGGTCATGCAACACCAAATTTTCAAAACTAAACAAGTGACAATATATACAAAACTCAAAATTATTCCCCAGACACAAACACACACATAGACTTTGAATTATATCTAATTTTTTCCTTTCTTGAAAATGCCAGAAGCCATATGAAAGGTGAGAACCTTAAGAACAAAGTGTAGTCATTTCCTTTACAACTTCACAAAAAGCAAAAAGTAAATTCCTCACTACCAAAAAAAAAAAAAAAAAAAAAAAAAAAAATTATTATACACTTGTAGCTTCTGTCTGTCTGCTAGACTCCCATAACCATATATATTCTGAAACTACATTACCCATTAGTATATTTCATTTTGATCAAAGGGGGCACAACACTCCGACCCCCACACACTGAAATTTTTCCCCTTTGATTTAAATTTAATCTATTCAAAATATACAAGGAGAAATCCAGAAAATGGAGATCACATCAGCAAGATCAAAATGAGACAATAGGAACATCAAGTTGAGCAAAAAATCACCAATCATTGGGTAATGTCTTACAATACATATTTGTTATGACAATTCAACTGTCATATCAAATATTGAAATCTGTTCATCAATTCATTCAATCAAGTATTGCATCAAATGCATATCAAAGGGATCAGACCAAGTTGTTTTTGCACAAACCACACTGAAAATTTTTTTCCCTCTGATTTAAATTAAATTTAAAAAAAAGGAATGACTATTCAAAATATAAGAGAAAGCCAGAAGATGGAGATCACATTGGCAAGATTATTGAGTAACTTTGAAATGCATCATTTTTCTCCACAAATTATAACAATGATTTAAAATCAATCATCATTTTCTTACAAAAAAAAAAAAGAAAGAAAAAAAAAGAAAAAAAAAAGTGTGATACAGCAAGATACAGGTAATTCATCTAGTAAATAAAATAAAATTAAAAAACATAATGGACTTTAACTTGTTATGAAAAGGATACTAAAAGTTTTTAGTCCTATTAAACCTGTTGAAAGGTTTAATAGGATAAAAAGATTAAGAATTTTATTACATTTATTCAAATCATTGATATAAATTTTATTTGAATTTTGGAAAAATACCATGGAAGAAATGTAGCATCTAAAATTTCAAGATATGTGACAAATAAACCAAGAAAGATGCAAAAGAAAAAAAGACATTTTTGGTTCAAATGTTTAAAATAATTAAGTGGTATTCATTATTCTTTACTTCATGAGACTGGTTTTGAACAAATAAAAATTTAAATATTCACTTTTCAAGTCACCATGTCTCATGGAAAACATATTGACAGTATTTCTGTTCTAAGACATTAAGAAAAAAATAAATCTAGTAAATTATCTTATTGCAAATGTACCATGAAGTGCTAGAATTTGAATATTTTTTTTTAGCTATGAACTTCATAAAATATGCTCTATAAATAGTGAAGTAAAAATGACCTTGAACAATCAATGGTCAGTCTGTGCGAAGAACAAGCTGAACCAGTCTTGTGAATTTTAATTTTAAAGGGTGCGGCATAAATATCTCCCACATAATGGTAAGACATTAGTGGCAAAAGTGTCTTCATCTAGCTAATGTCTTACCGTGGGAGGTATTTTTGCCACAATCTATAATAATGATGACTTGTGCTTGTTGACTTGCAGAAATAAATTTTGAGTAGATTAACTTGTTACATAATTTTTTAGCCACAAAACTTTAGTGACAACTAAAAGTTTGATTTTTTTTTACTATTTTAATATGAATTTTTAACACTCAGTTTTTGGATAAATATTGCAAAAGTTTTTGGATAAATATTGCAAAAGAATGCATGAAAGTTATCAAGCCAGCAGATATGAATATACAAGTTTAAATAACTCATGGAATAACTCCAGCATTGTTTGACATTGAATGTGAAGAAATTATAATTCCCCATTTACATGTACATTCTACAGCAAAATGTTTGTTGGAATAGGTTAAAAAAGACAGATCAAAATAATTTGAACAAATCAAGAGGAAGTAGATATATGTAATATTCTTGTCTATGACTTGAGAGGAAAAGGAGAAAACAGCAAGAAATATAACAAAAAGTTAGCATATGGCAAAGAACCATTTAAAATATTTTTTATTGGCCATTTTTTTTAATGTTTCCAATAATATGTTAAGAGCTGTTAGAAAAAAATATTAATGTGTATATGAGAAAGTTTAAGTATTACATTTATAAATAAACACATTCACCCATAACATCTAAAAAAAAAAAAACAATAGCAATATTTAAGTAATTTTGCATTGGTTATATTTTCTGTATTAATAATCTAGGACCTTATCTATATAATTAACTATTGCTGCACAAATTTTTTTTGTAAGCATTTAAAAAAGTAAAAATATCCAAATAAAGCTATCATGAAAGAATAAGTAGTGATCTATTAGCAACCTGATTTTCCCTATGAGGCATGTTCATTTGTCAAGTTGAGTAATGCTTATTTTTATTGAATATTGGAATATCTCATTACAAAAAGAGGAAACACAATGAGTGTATATTTTCTGGAGTGTTTTGACTGGTGTAACTAGGTGTGGTGGAATTCATACAGAAACTATTGGTATTCTCATGATTATATGGAGTTAATTATCTTCTCACAGAAAAGACGTTGCCAGAGTAATGTTGTTAGCACATTGGAATGCAAAGATAAAAACTTTTTAGACTAGATTCAATACATGTTACCAGATTTTACTAGAACACTTAACTTTTGAAAATATGAGTAACATACAAAATAAAAAAATTATTATCTGAAATTGTTTAAGATTACAATTAAGTCTGCTAGTTTGCAAAATAGCTAATACCTCAAACTTGTCTGTTTTAACTTTTAATGTAATTTTTGGCAAGACAGTGTACCAGCCATAACAACTATTTATACAAGGAGATACTGAAAAGTTCTAAAGTTCTCAGCCCAACCAAGAAGTCACAAAAAAAAAAAAACACACACTGATATTTGGGTTATTTAGTTAAATATTGGAAAGCAGGTTTTAGAACACCCTTCATACATGAGTTTTTGCCAAGAGCACTGGATCATAAAATGTAACTATAAATAAATTATACATGTATATATATATATATATATAATTCATACAAATGAACTTATTTATTTCATAGACTTTAAAATGTGACTGAAATCTCACATAAAACAAGAATGCTATAGATACTTGTGTATTTCAGCAATTTAACAAACTTTTTTTACTAAAGCAAATTATCATTTCTAACTTTGCTCACCAGCTTCTGACAATATGCATTTCATTAAATATTACAAAATTAATACCAAGATCCGAGTCAACCCTAGCTTACTTCACAAACACTGAAAAAGGCTGCTCCAAGTGACAATATAATATTCATTCATATTTCACTACAAAAGTTCATTGATGTCAGTGAACAGATCATACAAAAGGAGGCAATTGAAATTTATACAAAGTAACTCACATAAAATAACTGTAATTAGAAAACCTTTAATCACAAATGTATAAAAATTATTAAGTAAATATTTATCATTAGAGCTTTTTATCTCTTAAAGTAAATTTGGTTGAAATGTAAAATATATAGCAAGTTTGGAGCCAAAGTTTTATGACATTGATGTCCATGTTCT